CGATTTGCAGCCGGTTGGTCGACCCCAAGCTGCCCCTGGCCACAAGAACCTCGTCGAAACCAAGCTGCCGGCGCCCAAGCCACCGTTGCCGAGGATGCGGCAGACCGTGAAGCGGGCGATGCCAGAGTTTCTTGGCAGGCGCAAGGTCTCAGACGGTTTGAAAGGATGGCACGAGGCTGTGTGCTGACTGCAATTTGGGGAGGTGCCCCCTTTCGGCCGAGGAGTGCTCTGAGTACCACGAGGAAGCGGCAGGCCCGAGAGCGCCACGACGAAGGTGAGCAGCGAGGGGCCCCAAAGCCCAACAACACCGAGGCCGAAGTCTAAGGCCAGACCTCGCTTTGTGGAAGGTGCACCCGTGGGAACCGAGGGCCAGCCTAAGTCCAAGGCCAAGCTCACCTTGCAGTGCTCCCAGACGTGGCCGTCCCTTCGCGGCAGGTGGGAGCTTTGGTTGTCTGGTCTTCCCCGAGGCGACCCGGGACCTTCCCCAAGGTCTTCCTCCAGGTGACGTGCATGGACGTGCCTCCAGCACGCCAGAAACGTGCTCTTTAACGTCGCGAACAAGAGGTGCAGAGAAGAGGACTGGCCCCGAGTGTTCTGGGAGGTGGCACGCACAGTCGTTAATGGAGACAACGCCTTATTGCACTGCATGGCGGGTCGTCGTAGCAAATGAGTCGATCCTGCGTGTCAGGGAAACTGAGATTGCCAAAGTTATCCAACAGGACAAGAGCATAGGCTCTTGGATGACAGAGGCGGCCAGGAGCACCAAGAAACCAGTCACCCCCATTAAACCGGTGGGCTATATTGCGACGGACACCTCCCACTTGCATTTGGAGTTTCCGGAGGAGGGCGTGCCCTTGTGCAAACACAAACAAGGAGGAGGAGCTCAGCGTCGCTTGGCCAATCCGCGCAAGACTCGCAGCCGGCTAGAGGCCATAGGATGGGAGCGACCCATCTGCGAGGGCTGCTTTAGCAGAGCCTCGGCAAGGTATTTTCCGGCGTAGGGTTTCGAGAACTTCGGGCCAGTGACCTTGCAATCGCCGGCTAATTCAAATCGACAAGATCGCCGCGCCTGCCGAAGCTGGTCCCAGACCGAAGCCTGAAGCAAAGGAGTGAGAAATGTGGAGTGTTTCGCTGCTGTTTAGGTGCAGGTCGAGTGCTGCGAGAGAGGCTGTGTGCTGTGTGTGCAGCGAGTGCAGTAGGTAGTTCGGCTTGCACCCTAGCTCTACCCCTCCCCTCTCTTCCACTTGTCCTGTCCAAGTCTGTCGGCCCGTTCGGAGGCGGGCTCAACCTTGGGGGCGACCGAGGCGCCTGGACCCCGGACCACAGGGAAGGTTGACCCCCTGAGTGTGTAGCCGCTGGGGAGATAGGGGAGTGAATCCGGCACCCTAGGGATGGCTTCTGCGGCGCATGTTCCGCGAGGGGAGCAGGATATAGCTTCGAGCTTCAAGTCTCTACAGCTGAACTTTTCCTTGGATCATTGGATCAAAAGATCATTGATGGAATTCTCAAAACAGGTACTACCCATCTCGAGGAGTTCAGGCTTTTGTTTGAGGACGAGTCTAGCGTGGGCTCGGGTGACAGTGCTATGCTCCAGACGGCGAGGCTTCGCCGGGCACGGAAGGCAACGTGTACCTAATATTCGCAAGTCTACTTGGATTCATTATTGGCCGATTCTGAGTTGCGTGGCCTCAAGGGGCAATTTTGGGTGAGGAAAAAGCTTCGCTTCCCAGCTGAGGTGCAGCTCTCGGACGCGATGGTGTCCCGGATCAGCAGGGAACTGTCCAAGCCCATGCTGTGCATCTGTGATATCTGGAAGGTCACGTCCTTGCAGTTTCGGTTGGGCACGTCGCAAGAGAAGCGGCGATTGGCCGATGGGTTGTATATGGACGAGCCCGACACAGATGAAGTCATGTCCCCAGTTGTGGACACGTACTTGCAGAAATTGCACACGCTCATGATAGCTTATGCGCTTAATGGCACTCAGCTTATCCCGGGAGTCGACCCGGTCAGGGAGAAAGCCTTGGGTGCCAATACCAGTGAGTTCGTGGAGGTCCCCTTATACTGCATGTTGGCGTTTTAATTCCCGGCGAGGAAGCCGTGGTCGAAGGAGCCATGCTCGGGATGCTCACTGGTATTTGTCAGCTCAGGCCGAACCGTGGCGGGTCCCATGATAGCAGGCAAGCCCACAGCCAAGACGAGGAAAGACGGGGGTGAGGCTGTGTCCTGCAGGTGCCGGTGCCGCGCTGATGCGGCCCAGGCCCAGTTACTCGGGGGGTGCTGAGCTTGGGACCCAGCGTCGAGCCCCTCAAGGGGCCGGTTGTACTTTTGGACCAGGCCTGGTTGCAAGCTGCAGCGCCCTTGTCTGCTTTCGGACCGCTTAAGGAGCTCTCTTTGTCCTCCTCCCGACTTCAGTCTTCCGGACGACTTGGTTCAAGGGATGCCGGCAGTGGGCACCATGGGCACCTCTTACCTCTGCGGAGTCTACCCGCAGCAGCCGTTGCGGGAGATTCCCCTTCAAAAAGGTGCTGTCAGGGCGGGAGAGGCATAACCGGGAAATCAAAGCCTGAAGGATCATGGGTCAGGCTTTTGCACTGAGCCTTTGAGTTGGGCTGAGCTTCTGAAACAACTCAAAGGCGCCCCTTTCGTCTCATACCGAGGTGCCTCTGCTAAGCAACGGGTGATCGACAATGCCGACCATGGTGGCCAGAGCGAGCTCAGCTCCGATGCCAACAAATTGGTCCTATGCTCTGCTCTGCGTCCAGCACAGCACATTTCGGCAATGCGCACCCTTCCGCCTGAAGAAGCTCAGGCCCTGCGCGAGACCGACCAGTGGGAAGGAGGGGGAGAAGACTGGCCAGACGCCTATCGACGATGCTGGTCGCGCTGTGGCATTGCGAATGGGGCAAACCGGCTTATCAAGTCTACTCTGGTCTGTTGTTTGGTTTGCCTCTGGCGATGACCGGTTTTACTAGGCTGAGTAGGTTCACTGAGGCGGTCGGGCGTCGCCTGACCTGCACCATGGTTTCGATGTATTTCGATGACGCTCATATCACTGACTTGGGGTCAGCGAAGGGCTCAGGTCAACATGCTTTTGGCGAGGTGAATTGCCTGATGGGTTCTCCGTTCGCCGCGGAGAAGCGGCAAGTAATGGCCTCCTCAGACACTTCTTGGGCTTGACTGGGATTTCAGCCCCCTGAGACAGCGGCGGCGAGCTGTTCAGTTTTGGGTGCGGACGCGACTTCAGGACAAGGTCGAGACTCTCCTTAAGCAGGCCGAAGTCGATAGTTCCTTGCCTTCGGGCACAGCATCTAGCTCTATCTATGGCATCCTCAATTTCCTCGAGCAGGGGGTCTATGGTCGCATCGGTACTGGAGGCCTTCATGGGTTGAAAGAAAGACAGCATGAGCCTGGCCGGGAGTTGACCCGGGCCCTCAGGGACACCTTCGAGACCATACGGTCGATGCTCCGCTTGAGCGCGAGGTTGAGATTCTACCTTCTGCCTGTGAGCGGTTTGTCGCTGCGAGTGACGCGGCCGAGGATACGCCGCGGCAAGGTACTGGAGGCTTCCTCTTGGTTTGGGGGGGGCGAGCACCCGCTGAGGGAAGCCTTTGTGGCAGAGATTACGGACGAAGTCTATCGCGTTTTCTTGCCAGGGGATGCAAAGATAGCACAGCTTGGGTTGTCCATGGTACTCTTTGCCCTCACTTCGCGAGCTTCGGTTTTCCGCCGTCGCAGAGGAGTCTGGTATATAGACAACGTAGCGGCGCTAGTGGCGCTCATTCGTGGACGCTCCGATTCGCCGGATCTGGAGCGTCTGGCTAATTTTTGGTTCACGTTGCTCTGTTTTCCTTGGAAACATGGATGTACTGGGAATGGATCCCCAGCAAGTCCAACTGGGCGACGCCATCAGCCGCCTGGGGGAGGACGATCCCTGGCAATCTTTGGTACGCGGCTAACGGCTTTAGACTTTGTCGCTCCTTGTTCCCGTCGGAGGTGTGGTCCCCTCCGTTGGTGCCCGCCATGCTTGTTTTTCAATCTCTGTAGAAGTGGTTTGGGAATAGTGCATTTGGTGTCTGAGCCGTGGTAGGCTCTTGGCAATACCGGAACCCAGGGGGGCTGACCTGGGTATCCGACAGAATGCCAGTACCTTCCTGTGAGATTGTGCACAGTTTCTACAGAAACCACACCGAAAGGAAAAAGATGTGTGGAGCGACTGCAGTAGCCTAGTGATGCGATAAACGAATGTATATCATGTGTCGAGTTTGGAACTTGGGTGCACATGAATCATCTGTTGTCGTTCATCCTGCCTTTTGGATCAAGCCATGGCAGTTGAGCACAAAGGCAGATTTGTTTGCCCACCCACCCTCGCTGTGAGACGATCCCCACGGTGGGGTAATCCTCTCTTCTTGGGTGAGGCAGCGAGAGTTGACCTCGACTGCATCCGGTAGGGTGTCTGAGCCGTGGTAGGCTCTTGGCAATACCGGAACCCAAGGGGGCTGACCCTGGGTATCCGGCAGAATGAGACCGGATGTGTTACCAAAGCACTTCCTGTGAGATTGTGCACAGGTTCTACAGAAACCAAGGCGGAGCACACCGAAACGAAAAAGATGTGTGGAGCGACTGCAGTAGCCTAGTGATGCGATAAACGAATGTATGTATATATATATATATAGGTATATATAAACATGTATGTGACTTCTATGCCATTCTATTCGTGTGTGTGTGTGTCGTATGCCATGCAAATGGGCTGACAGTGTTGGGAATTTCGCTGGGACCAGTTTCAGTGCAGTTCGAGTGTTTGTGCTGCCCCCTTGAAGCGAAAGCTTGTCAGTGTCTCCGTGGACTCCGATATGTTGCGCAATGGCGCTGTTGATTCCATGATGTTGAAACGTCTTCGGCATTGCACATACTGTACCATCCTAACCTTCGCCAGCGTGTTCTGGAGTGTTCGGCGTCTCGGCAGTTTCGCGCGATGTTGCAAGTCAAAACGGCCGTTGAAGATGACGGTGTGTAGCGTGTCATCATATGGTCGGGAGCCTGCCAAACATCCGCAAAGTCCGCCAGGCCAGATCATCAATTATGCCCTAACTTTCGTGACTCTGCAACATGGCGACTCCTGAGACCGTTCTTCTTTGTTCGAGAAACCCTCTCCGCGAACCGAACCAGTTTTGGGTATCAGAGAGTGCCTAGAAAATTGAGGCACATTGTTGGAGGAGCCGGCACGACTGCAGATGCGTCCGTGGGCTTGGCATTGGCACTTTACACTTGCCTCGGCCGCTTCATTGCAAGTCCAAAGCCTTCGGATAAGATTTAGCACTTGTTTCGGGGCTGCTAACTCTGGACCAGCGAACTGGGCAAGAGACCACATGGTGCTTGGCACGGGGCGTCCGGAGTTGATGCCTGAACCTGAAGGTCGGAATCTCATCATGGGCCTCTGCGGTGCTGTTGACACCATTTCTTCACAGGCCGCGGGCGCAGGTCGTCTGGACCTGCTGGGCCCTATCTTTCGCCGATCCTCCTGCTTTTTGCTGCCTCCTGGTGTTGAGGTGGGTTTAGGGCTGCTGGATTCCTTGTGGATAGGCTTTTCATTCTTCCGAAATTCTATTTTGCGAACTTGGGGCATTGCAGTAATCCAGATGGAAAGAAGCGAACCTTTTGGATTGCATGGCCACCCCTGCTGGCAGTGATCGCTTGAGGCTGCACCTCGTGCCGTTCAGCTTGTTTTGCCTTTCCTGTCTTTTCTGGCTGCCATTGGTCACAGATCCTGTCATCGGCCGCGCCACGTCCCAGTTCCTGCTGTTGGTCATCCCTGACCTTGCAGTGCAGTGCATCTGGCGTCCAATGAACCGAATCCTGGCATCTCAGCAAATGACGTGCCCATTCATGATCGTGCAACCGGGCATGCAATTTACGGGTATACTACTGTACCGTTACTACGGGTATTGAAGTGTTAAAGCAGGAACAGGTGGGGGGGGCCGCCCCCCAATAGATACTCGGAAAGTGTTATTATCATTGGTTTTATCTCCACTGTCAGATTTGGGTACGATTACGGCAGCTCCGCACAGGCAGGCTCAGCAAGGGCCTCTGAAACCTGACTTCGTCCTTTCAGGCAGACAGGCAGTCAGGCCTGCAGATTTAGGAAAGTGTAGGCTTCGGACAGCCACGCTCACAGACCGAGCTGCAGACAGGCCATCGCAGCTGAGAGAAGACCGACAGCTGGCAACCAGGGAGGCTCACCTTAAACCCTCAACCTTTGCCCAAACCCCCCCCCTAATTCAGAAGAGGTTTTAAAGGGCAGGGGTGATTTCGGGAGGATTGGGTCCAATGTGTTTTATCATTAGGGTGGTCTGGGCCCCACGACTGCTTCAGAGTTGTCCTTCCTGGGTCGACTTAGCTAAGGTCGCTGCTGGTGCTTTTCTGCCACTATGGCTTCTCGTCGATCCTGATTTCCCGCTTCGGCCCACTGGGAGCCGCACTCGCCACTTCCTGCAGTGGTTTTATGACGCTGTTCTTTGGAGTAGTGGCTGTTTGGTTGGTGGGTGCAGGCCCGACCATTTGGGGAGGGAGCTGCACGCCAGAAGGCATGAAGCAAGCTGGAGCCAGCTGGGGTTCGATTGCTTCCTTGGCATATCCTTCTGCAGCTATGAGGATGCTTGAGTCGTCAGGCTTTTCTGGTATTGTCACGACCAGTGCGCTACTGCCGCTGGCCAAGATCGAGGTGGACATCATGAGCTTGTCGCTAAATGTTTATGGGTGTCTTTTCACTTTGTTTCCGGCCATTTCGATCTGCGCTGACACACGAGTTGGCAATGCTGTTGGAAAAGGCACGCCTTCAGCGGCAAAACGTGCCATGTACGTGGCCACTGCGTTGACGCTTCCTGCTGCCACTGCGGTCTCATTGGTTTCCTGGCTGACTTTCCGGATGCTTTGAGTTTGGACCTCTTGCCCGTAAAGAGATGCAGTAAGGCAAAGCCCAGGCTCCAGCACGTTGATGCTATGCAACCTAAACCCAAGTCGTGGACTTCGGTTTGCGACTGAACTGCGAAGTTTCTGGCACACGAAAACAGCCAAGCTGTCTCGGACCGCCTACAGTTCTGTGGTAGGTTGGCAAGCATAGCCTGCGTCAGACGTCAGTCAGTTCGACTTGCAGCCAGCGATTTGTTTTTGGTCCGCACGGCGTGTAGCTTCTCTGTCGTCTTCCTCGTCTCTCATCAAGACCATGCTATGTCCTGTCGCGAGTTCTGGGTTGCTGATAAGCCACAGGGAAGAGAACCTGCAACACACGCGCTCTCAAACTCAGATTCAATCAGAACCTCACAGGATTTTCGTGACACCGCAAGCAAGGTCTTCGTCATTCCTCAGTGCCGCACGCTGATCGACCAGATGGTTCGCGTCAGCGCTCTGGATCCCAGGGTCGCTCAGGGCCTGACTCTTTACTGCACTTCAGAACCAGATTTCTTGGTCAGTAGCAGCCCCAGCCTCCGTTGACCTTCTCTTTCGTAAGCCTCGATCTCGAGTCACACGAACCCCAAAGCAGTCATTGTTACAAGAGCATCGGTTCAAGGAACACAGTGTACCTGATCTTCGTTTGCTTCGCGGGCCGAATTCAGCCGAACGCAAAAGATGAAGCATTTCCATTTCAATGGGCTTATCAGATAATCACAACAATAAGCAGGGATTCTGTTATGTGTCAGATATGTTTTCGTCCTCCAGACTGGGTTCATCTGTTGCATTATCATGTTGGTTTCAAGGTTTACTGCCCTGGTTCCGCAAAAGATTGTGCCATGTTAGGTGACCCCAGCACCTTGACTACCTTGACCTGTTGGCAACCCCGCTAAGCTGCTACGGCCATACTTCTGACTAAGAACCAGAGATGTGGAGCCAATAAGGCGAACACGCTTGGCGTATAGGAGGGAAACTAGCCCGAACGTTTTAGGCAGTGTGGGAAGTGCAGTTTGGTGAGCATCAGGCGGATTCTATTACATTGATGGCCTCCAAACCGCACTTTCGGGTTCCATCCGCGGCACCGGCCAACAACAGAAAGGTGCTCGAATCTGCGTCTTGGCCTATTGGGTCCTGGGCATTCCAGCCGCATTGATTTTGGGATTTGCTTGCGGCCTCAAGAGCACTGGCCTGTGGCTCGGAATGTTGGTGGGGCCTACGGTGCAACTCATCTTCTATGCGAGGCATTCGGGATGGCAACAAAAGCAGGTGGAAAGGATTCGATAGGCATGCCAGCTGGGACTGGAAAGAATCTTACTAGTAGGGTAAACTAATGATGGCTAAGGCGGTGTGTCACCACCCTGCCCATGCAGTAGTTGAGAACGTTGAACACGAGCAATGCTGAGCCATTGTCGTTGCCGCCCGCGACTTTGCAGGCTATTGCTGAAGATGAACTGGGATGACATTGCAGGCAGATGCCAGCAACGCCTGCGTCGAGACGAGGGCAGGGATGATTTTATCGTAGCCTGATCTTGCCAATTGAAGGGAGAGTAGCAGTTCTTGCCTTAGCAAGAGCATCACATTGGGGGGACGTCTAGCAGTTCCGCCCACTAAAGTGGATGTGAGGAAGCTTGTTCTCGCGGCAGAAGCTAAGCTCAAAAGGACTGCTTGGGCTTCTCGCTTTCGCTGCGCATGGGCAACTCATGCAGCGCCTTGAACACCCCCCCCTTGTTGCTGAACGGCACGCAATTGGGGGCTCTTTCGCTTGAGCAGGAAAAAAGACGTGGGTGTAATCTTCATACCGGCAGGCTTTGCAGGGAGAACTACAGTGGCATCATCGTAAGGCCGTGACAACAGCAAACGGGTGCAAACTGTCGCAGCTCCAGCTTGCGGGTCTTTGGGGATCGCCACGCCACGCAAGACTTGGAGGATGGAAGCTTCAAGTGTATGAACACTGCTAACCTGTGCTAGCGGGGGACAGAGGTTAGGAATTGTACGCTCAGGTTGGCACCGTGTCGAGTGGACGTGCTCTTGAGGACTGTCCAGGACATCGTGGTAGCAAGAGAAGACCAGAAAGGTGTGGATTCCGGTGCTAGGTCCTCGTCTGTGCTCCGAAGTAATATTTCGTCACTGTGTCACCCTACAAGTCTGCCCTCTTCGATGAGTTCCAACGCTGGAGGTGGCAGAAAAGCAACCCGTTGCCTGGTAGACTCGATTAATTTCACTACACTTGTCTGTCGATACATTGCAAGCTGCGAAGCAGGCGTTGCTTGAACTGGGGTCATTGTTAAGGCTGCTGCCAAGAGACACGTAAACAGATTGACCTAGAAATGAGCCGAGTATGACTGGCCATAAAAAATTGGTGACAAGGCGACGAAATGACAATAATCAAATCGTGAGTTCTAGTCACTGTGCCGATGGTTTACCATGTGCCACAATATGCAAACAATTTAAGGGACCATTCACAGAACTCCCGAACTCCAGCCATTTTGGCTCTAATATCCCTCGCGTTGCCGTTCTAGACATGGACTCAGACAGAGCAGTGATAGTGTTGCCGGCACACTCTGTAAAAGCAGACGACTCTGGGCTTGATTTCGCCAAGAACCAGGAGCGCAAAGGATGTGTCCTCACCGGCTTCACCCAAAGCTCAGAAGAAGGTGCCCGATTGTTGGAGTGGGCACACGTGCTTTGTGGCACGAATCTCAGTGGCGAGCTTCGCTTTTACGAGGGACGCGATGCTTTAGAAGGGGAGCCCTTCCTAGGGCAACTTGAGAGGCAGTTGTATGACAACCTGTCCTGGGCCAGCAATCGCATGGAGGATGCAAGCGTTGATGCAGCCAAGGCTGAAGTCATTACAGACAAAGACATGCTAGGACTTCTCGCCCGGCAAATCGAAGGCATGATGCAGATGTTTCTGCGTGCTTCTGACACTTGGTTTGAGGAAGATTTCTGGTGTGTGAAGCTGGAAATCAACCTGAGTGATGATATCGAGTTTTGCCACCACGGCACGAGTTTGCGCTTGATTTCGACATTGGTCGGCGATGGTCTTGTTGTTGCCCACAATGATGCTGTGGATTGGTTGGTGTATGAAGGACCGCACAAGAGCATGCATGGGAAAGCATGGAACCACCAGGTTTGCTCCGCGGAGCATGCAACGAGCGTTGGCGATTTGGTTCTGGCAAAGGGGAAGACGAGCCGAGATACAATGCCATGTGTGTACAGATCGCCTGACTCTGCCCAGAGAGTTACTGAACGATTTGTTCTGACACTCGACCGCATCTTGGCAGCTAAAAAAGGAAGACTCGTGGGTTTCAAAAATGCTGACAAGCTGCCCGTAACTCTGCTGAGCGGATTTCTGGGCGCGGGAAAGACGACCCTCCTGACACATCTCTTGAACAATCGGGAAGGAATCCGTGTTGCAGTGCTGGTCAACGACATGGCATCCATAAACGTGGATGGGCAGTTGCTGAAGGATGGGGTAGACTTCTCGGAAAGCACTGATAAGATTGTCGAACTTCAGAATGGCTGCATCTGTTGCACTCTCAGGGAGGATCTCATGTCGACGGTGGGCGAGTTGGCTCTCGAGCGCCGCTTTGATTATCTCCTGATCGAAAGTACGGGAATCAGTGAGCCGATGCCGGTTGCAAGCACTTTTACAGCTACAGACGACATGGGGCAATCATTGCTGGGCAGCTTATCGAAGTTGGACACCTTGGTGACGGTTGTGGACTGCCCTTGTTTCCTGAAGGATTACCAAGGTGACCAGTTGCTGGTGGACAAGCAAGAGCTCGGCGCAGAAAAGCATGACGAGCGAAGCATCGTAAACCTCTTGACGGATCAAGTTGAGTTTGCCAATGTCCTGGTACTCAACAAAATCGATCTCGTTTCTTCGCAAGAGCTGGACACTCTGAAGGGCATCCTTGCAAAGCTCAACCCTGACGCAAATGTGATCGAAACGCAATTCGGCGTAGTAAGTCCATCATCCGTGTTGAACACACGAAGCTTCGATCAGGACTCCATGGGGACGATAGCCCTTTTCCAGGCCCACGGGCTTCTGGCAGCCAAGGAGAAACCGTCAGGCTCCATGCTTCCAGGTTGGGTTCGAGAACTGCAAGATGTTGACCGCAAGCCGGAGACAGAAGAGTATGGCATCTCCAGCTTCGTTTATTCCGCGAGCCGCCCATTCCATCAAGATCGGCTGGACAGCATAATTGAGCATGGCTTTCGGAATTTGGGCGTGCTTCGCTCAAAGGGCCTAGTCTGGTCTGCCAGCAATCATGACATGGCCTTGGAGTGGAGCCAAGCAGGTTCTTCCATGGCTTTGAAACCTGGGCGCCGCTGGCACGATGGAGAGAGGAGGCAGGAAGTTGTTTTCATCGGTCAGAGCATGAACGAGCGCAAGATTCGCTTGGTGCTGGATGAGGCATTGGCGTCCCCGGAGTTTACGGGGGTGCCGAGGCCAACTCGATTCCAACAAGCAGGTGGCGAGGCTGAGTTCATGGGTAGTGCAAGAAAAGCAGCCCGGGTGCACTAAGACTGTGCTTCGAGGAATGAGGACTGCGAAGTGCAGAGCTGTATCAATTCAGAGCCCGTGTTTAAGAAATCTAAGGTGCATGTACTGCTGCAGAGGGTTAGCTGTTGTTCAACAAAGGAAGAATAGCGTGTGCGCTTGATGCTTAGCCGGTCATTGTACAGATTGTGCTGTGTTGCCGTCAGCCCACACTCACTCACTTCTGAGTATGAGCATGAGGGAGGCTTCGGAGTTTTGTGCAGTTTTGACCTGACGGGTCGGTGGAGTGCCTGGCTGCTAGGCAGCCGGCGGGCCCTGCGTGAGGGGTGTTTCTTCGCAAGGCCATGGACGAAAAGTGTCCCTGGCAAGGCGAGCTCGTTGTAAATTGCGATATCGGGCTCCAGGACCTCATGGCCTTATGTCGAGTTCCGACAGCGACAGCGAGTAGGACCAGGAAAAGTGTTGTTTGAAGCGGCATGTACGTACATCTGTCTAAGCAGTAACAATTTGCAGGAAGCTGCACGAAAAAAACCCAGCAAGGGAGGTGCAGAGGGAGACGAAATTGGATTCAACGATTCTTAAGATTTCGGTAGCCCCTGTCTTGCGATGAGACGGCTTCACCAAGAGCAATGTTTGGGCTTACAGCTACGAAATCGATGGCCGGTCCCTGAAACAAGGCCATTCGCCTAAGACGGAGCAAGTGCAAATTGTTGTGAGCAGCTGATGATAATTTTGAGGTTGAGGCTGTTGCAGGTGTTGAAGCTGCCGAGGAGTCTTAAGGTCTTATTCTTCCAGTTGAGATTTTTCGTGCGGGTGTTTGGGGTTTAATTTAGGACTGTTCGATGTTTACGTTTCAGGACGAGTTCAGTTGTCCAGAGTTTTGGATATGCTATTGCACGCTTGAGGGCTTTAGGCTTGCACTTCAATTTTTGAGAACCCTTTCTTGGGCGGGTGACACAAGATAGCACAGGCCAACATAGCATGAGATCAGGCTACATACGGCCTATTAATAAAACATAAGGTAAGATGGGACAAGATACAACAAGATAATTCGCCATAGCAGAAGTAAACCGAGCATAACATCACACAAGGTGACACAACATCATCAAGCAGAAGACAAGATACGATAACACGCTAGCAAAGACGTTTGGTTTGGGTTCAGGGTTAGACAATAGTTGTGCGCAAGCTTTTGTCGAGGTGTGTCCTTTCGACTGCTTCGGCACACCTTCGGGGCAGAGGGAGCTCCAAGTCGACGAGGCAAGCCCGCTGCAAACCCAGACCCGACTTTTGGTGCAGGGCTTAGGGTTTATCACGTACGATATCGCACACACAAACCTAGAGTTTGTGGCGTTTCAATGTAACCCAACACTTCGTTGTTGGGAGGAAGGTTTAAGGATCAGGGCTTAAGGCGCTGTTACCCTGTTCCTTAGGATGAGACGACGCGGGCCTGTTCTGAGCTGGAGCAAAGCTCGATATGGTTGACTGACCACAGCGCAACTGCATTGTCTTCTTTGAAATTTGTCCGACATCTAGCCTGCGTTTCACTCCGAGTCTTGCGCTAACACTGGCCCGAGAACAACACTTGCGTTCGAGAGGTTGGATGGCAGCAGCCAAGAGGCGTGGCAAGCGTCCAAACGGCTTGGTTGGAGCTTGGGTTTCTTTTGACTGTTTGCTGTCTTCGTGACAGGACTCGTGCTTGAAAAGTATTTGAACCCTTCCGTCTTGGGCTTCGGGCTTAACCGGAACCCGCATGGTCAATTCAAAATCCATCAACGTTCCGACCCACATGCTACTGGCCAGCAACATCTCTGGACAACTTAAAGATGTCGAGGCTCCGCAGGACGAAATCAGGCTTGTCACGAGATATTGCCAACAGTCATACCGTCACGTTCAGATTGCTTTATCAATCACTACTGGACTCATCATCGACATCCCAGACACAGCGTGGATTCGGCCACTGGAAGATACTGTGCGGTCGACGGCCAGAGATATGTTCATAAAGCCGTCAGACTTCTCGAACTAAAACAGGCTATATGCAGATGTACAATAGTTTTCCGGTGGTTTAGGGTTTAGGACTCGTGGATGTGAGGTACAACAGGCCCGGCATGAGGGCATGTGCACTGCAGCCCCTCGTCAAATAAACAAAGAGCTGGCTCAGGGTTTGGGTGGCAAAATGCTCCTGGAGCTTCGTGCTCTTTAAGCAAAGGTTTCTGATCCACATGACAACTGGAAGAATACCTAGCCCGACCTAAGCAAGCAGCGGACTGGCACCACTGTCTGAAAGAAGCAAGCAGCACTAGAACCAGAAACAGATCTTCAGATCAAGATACTTAAAATCACAAAAACAGACACTTGCAGCAGAATAAACTCAGCTACCTGAGGTCCAGGATGGAGACTCGGTGCAGATGACCAATTAGGCGAGGTTCCTTTTGCTGAGGTTTCCTTGAGTTCAAACTCCGAATGGCACAGTTCGGCCTTGGTCCCCAAACATCTTGTTGCTTCTAGTTTCCCTGCAACATGGACACCAGCTAGCTAGCAACATGTTCCCAGGACCACGCAGAGTCAAAAGTTCATAGGATCGCACCGGCAGAAGAAATTCCTAAGCGCCAGGAACCTGAACCCTACACCCGAAAATCGGCTCAACCCTGCAATGCGGGCTCGTCCAAGCTAAGTGGGAGAAAAAGACTCCGTTTTTTTCGGTGGTCACTTGCGAGGGCTCTTTGGTGTTTCAGTTTTGAGGTTACTCTTGTGGTTTGCCGTCGCGCGCGGCTGAATAGTGGCTGAATAGCAGCTTCGTCAGTGTGAGTGCAGGAGTGTGAGCAAATTGACTTGTTGATCCTCCCGCGAAGGGGTTTGAGAAAATTGACTTGTTGATCCGCTGCGATGGGGTCTAGGTAAATTGACTTGTTGATCCCCCACAAAGGAGTTTGAGTAAATTTGCCGATTCCGCGCGAAGAGGTTTGAGTAAATTGACTTGTTGATCCCCCGCGAAGGAGTTAAGGTAAATTGACTTGTTGATCTCCTGCGAAGAGAGGGTTTAGGGTTTAGGGTTCGCCAGCAAGGCGCCCTAGTCACTTTTGCCGGAGCGAAGCGTTACCTCCTTTACCTCCTTTCTAAGGGAACTGCGGCTTAGTCCCTAAACTTTCTTTTTTGATTTTTGAACTTTTTGGCGTGCCAGGCTTTCCCAAGCCACCCAAAAGGCCAAAAAAACAATTTGGAGGGGCTGGGCCCCCCTTTCTGCCTCCTTCTTCTCCCCTCCGCGCGCCCCCCGCTCCTGACGAAGGAGGGGGGGGAGGCACGGGCGAAACCAAGCCCCTCCACCCCTCCAAATTGGCCTTTTGGGGGGATAGGCAAGGGTGGCAAAAGCCAAAAATCAAATTTGTAATTTAGTTTTTTGGCCTGTTTCCAAGCCCCCCAGGCTCCCTAAAATGGGCTTTTTGGCCTTTTGCCAAGCCCCGTTCAAGCCTCCAAAAAGCCAATTCGGGATTTTGAAAAGGAGGGCGGGGGGGGGGGGGCCACCAAAATTCAAGATTTTCAGCCAAAACCAAGCCCCTCCAC